AAAGCCTTCCTTCAATGGACTTAAGTAATAATTAATAAACTATCTCTTGATTCCACTAAGATAAAAAAAATTTTATCATCTGATTTTTCCATTCATGAGGAATGACGAAATATAATATTCAAGCTCGTTCTGATATTTGAAATTTAATCAATTGCATGAGTTTCGGATAAATGTCAGATTTTGTAAATTTCTATGCTCAAAGTGAAGTGCTCGAAGAAAGATGATCTTAAAACTTCAACTGATGCCTAATAAAATAATTTTTTTAAAAGTTTTCTAAATAGTATCGATCTAGAAAGTGTTTAATTCTGTATTTCTAAATGGCTACAAATTATTTTCTAAGCTAAGTTATTTAAATGCTTGGTTGACTTTGCTCAGTAAAGTTCGTTCATACTTAGTAAATAATTTGAACAGTTACACAAATTCATTTTTCTCACAATGGAGGTGTTGGTATTATCAGTTGAAGAGATTGGACATACTCGGGTCAAATTGAATCTCTCACCACCAAACGAACAAATTTAAGATATAGGCTACTGTTGATGTGCACCGATCGAGATGTTCAAATTTTAAAATATTTACAGTCTATGTATGATGGCGACCATTCAAAATTTCAGCAGAATTTTCCTTCTTTTTTCTTCATCGTTTGATAGTGCTCGTCAGGTTGCATTAGAAAATATATCTTTCATATTTTAAAAAATCTTATTGAACAAAAAGTGTAAGTTGCCATTATTTTTAAAAATAAAGGGAAATAACAACAAAATTTCAACCATCGTAAACTTATTTTTAAACCTCTTTTTTTTTAAATATGAAGCTATGTAACTCGACGAACTCTATCCAACGATGTGGAAAAAAGGAAAACTACGAAAATTTTGAATGGTGGCCGTCATACATAGACCATAAATATCTTAGAATTTGAATATCTCAGTCGGGGCACGTCAACAGCAGCCTATATCTTAAATTTGTTAGTTCAGTACTGTGAACTTCAATTTGAGCCGAATATGTTTAATCTTCTCAAGTGACAACACAAACATCTTCATTGTCAGTAATAAAAATATTTGCTAAATTTTCTAAATAATATCATTATAAGAAATTATTTAAGATGAGGGTGTGGAGTGTAGAATTGAGTTTGAGTGATGAGAACATTCACATTCTCCAATTTGAAATATGGAAACTAACTTTGCCAGTTAATGCATCAGAATGAAAAAACAGGCTATGCAATCGCCCAAATTTCTTCAAAGATTATATTTGCAAACATATGATTGATATGACAATTAAGTTAAAATTTCGCAAAGCATCTCCAATAGCAAAGAATAGGTCCTTAGGTGAGAAATAGAAGCGAGGACTATCGCGAAAGGCAACAAAAGGTTTATTAAGACAATAATTGTGTAACTTGACTGTTTATGTTTACATTTATGAATTTTTTCTTAACAAAATTTTTCCGTTTTTTCGAGACATGTGCAGCATTCTGCTTAGAAAATCTTTTTTTCCACTGAGAATTTAAATGCAACCCTCAACAATTTTTTTTATATAGTGTTTTAAATGATTTATTGAAAAAAGTATAATATCTACTTGATCTTTGATAAAAAAGAAATGGACATTTACATAATAATTCATTCAGAAAACCATTCAACTTCAAATCCCGTATTCTGACGAACAACGCAGTTGACATATTAGTCAGATATTTTTCTTTTATGATACTTAAAAGATTTTGATTTTGATATGAAATACTTAGATTCATCAATCTTTAGTATTTATTTAAAAAAAAATGAACAATAGATTATTTTTGTTTAGTATTCGGAGTTATTTTAAAGGCTGAATCTGCATGGCTATAAGAACTTTTCAATGTTTGAATCCATGCAATAACTAAATTAATACATTGATAGATAAAAGAAAAAAAAGGAATAACAAATACTCCTAATATAAATAGACAATATTTTTTCCCACGATATAATTCACCTTTAGTATCTTCATCATTGGCATTTAAAATAAGTAGAGTACACAGATATGTTAGGAACATGTGTATAATTATAAAGTATGGTTGAATATAATTTAATAAATAATAAATAAGATTATTGTTATAATAATTATTAAATAGACATAAATAAAGTATCCAAAAGATATTATTAAAAATCGGTGCCACAAAAAAATAAAATAAATTCTCATAATTATTAATAATTTGCATGAAAACTTTCCATGAATTTATTTGAAAATTTTCATAACGTTTTATATTAAATAAATTTAAAAGCAATTGATGAAATAAATAATATAAATCATAAATAAAAAAATTCCAGCGTAAGGATTGGCACCACAACAGAATAAAACTTTGATACACTGATCTAATATTTGTTGGTGTTTGATTATCACATGGTAAAAAGGTAGACTTAAATATTAAACATTTTTCATTTAATATTGCTAGTTTGTTACACATATGTACATCTTCATGTACTAAATCATTATCCCAATAATCAATTTTTTTTAATAATATTAATGGTATATGATATTCACTTGTAAAAGTACGAATAGAGCCTAAACAACGAAAATGTCCATGTGTAGCAATTGATCGAGTAATAGACATCCAATTTGTCAATATATGATTTGGTTGAAAATGTTTTACGTTAGTTATATTTGGTGTATAAATAATATGATTAAAGTATTTTAAATTATTTTTCACAGATAAATAATTTAAATATAAAAAATAATCTTGACACCAAATTGAATCACAATCACATGCCGTAATCATAACATAATCATAGGAATCTTTTAAACTATTTTCATAATATTTTACTAATATTTGAACACAATAATTACAATTCGATGCTTTACCTGCTACTTCATTTTTTAAACCATCAGGATGAATTGTTTTTATTATTTTAAGAAATTTATTTTCATATTTACTGACTATATTATTATATTTTATATCACTGTGCATCTCGCGTTCTTCTAATGCTAAACCTATTATCATTGATACATTTTGTTTTGCTAGTGAGTTTAAAGTATTATCAATAACTAATGGATCTTCTTTAAATATTGGTATAATAACCATATGTAATATATCTTCAATATTATTATTATTTAATTTATAATTCCGATTTTTTATGTAGGTATTTTTCATGTCAACCCAATTTACATTATTTAAAAATTTATAAATGATTCGTTTTTGTTCAATAAATGTAACAATACAAGTTGCATGCATTAATAAAACCGAAATTACTATATATATGGATACTATTATATTATAAATAATAGTCATTTTTGGAAAGTACCATATACTAATGAACGATATTAAAATAGGAAACCATATAAAAATACTGCAGAATATTTTGATTGAAAATGGAACTGTATGTGAATAACGATTATTATAATTTTCCATTTTCTTCAAAATACCGATGTGTTAATCTAAAAAATGAACATAAATATCTTTCTCTTTTTTGAAGCAATCAATTATAAGTAGAACATTACTATTATACGGACAAGCATACAGAGTCAAAGGATTTTTAAATTGATTATCACTTTTATTCATGATCGGAGTTTAAAATAATGCCTAGCTGATTACAAAAGTATATATATATTAAATATAAATCAATCGATCGATAAATAAAACAGATAGCGAAAACTACATATACAATCAGTCCACAGACTCAAGCTAAATAAATACCTGTCGTACTCTCAATTAGTAATAATAAATGAAAACTTCGGTTTGAGTTTATCAATGTACTTTGATAAAACTTCCAGAGACTCCGTTGTTTTCACAGGATTTATTTTCTTTTGAGAAGATAAAATCGTAAAGAACTGAGACAGAAGATATAGTGGATCGGTTAAAAACGACGAAATATATAGAACATAAAACTTGTTGTCGGATGAATGACTTTCTAAAAATGATACAACTAATCAGAATGATTATTTAATTTAATAGGAGGGCTATTTTGTAGTTTGATTAGTAGTTGATAGAAGAAGTATAAATAAGGCCGATATTGATGCTGCGCAATTGTAATTACCTGTACAAAGAGTATAAAAATGTAAATATGCAGTTACAATGTCATGATCCATCTTTCTCACTTTATTTTTCTAAATGTGTATGTAAATGACGAACCTGAAGAAAATAACCAATAAATCGAAGTTATTAATATATGATTTATCACCTACACAGTGTAGCGATCTGTAGTCCCATACAAGGTAATTTTGCACGTTTCTTTTTCATGCGTAGCAATAACAAATAGATTAATACAAAAAACATTCATTCGAATCATTTCTTATTGTCGATATTCTGAATTTCTATGTAAGACTCATAGAAAGTAATGTTAACAATGTTGAAATATGTGAATTGGAGAACGAGCCTTCACATATGTGTGAAACTTATAGAATAACTTTGAATTGTATTCTTGGTAATAGGCGTCAAATAATCAAATGGTATTGTTGTACCAGGGTGGTCATAGTCGATTTGATGAATGAAAAATATATTAAAAGTAAAAGATAAACAAAGCTGATACAATAGTTTCTCTCATATTCGTTTACAAGTGAAAAGTTATTTAGTAACGCCGCTCTTTTTCATGTTTTTTTTTATTGCTTTCCTTTTTCTTTCACTATTATCGACAGCATGTCCATGATTTATTATTTAAAATAAAAACATATTTAGGTACATATAGATATTTTTTTCTTGTATCTAATAGCAAATACTTCATGCAAGATGTAAAAGGCTTTTTTTTGTTCATTCACTTCTCATAATCATTTAGAAAGATTTACTTATGAATTTTGAAACAAGTAACATTCGTCGTTACGAGTTGGTTGATCCTCAACTGAATATTCAACTTTTTTTGCATAATATAATACTTCACAAATCCCATTGATACCAATATCAGACATATGCATGAATGTGAGTGTGGGTGTCGCTGTAGGTGTTGTCGTGCGTATCGTACGATGCTTCTTTTCTTCTATTCAATCAATCACTCTCATATTGATAACGAGTGATGCAAAAGTTCTTACAAAAATCTTGCTTCATTTTTCATTGACTAAAACATGTGTGAACAAACTCAAATGTACTTGTACAGAGTCTATGTCGAAAGCTTTTTCTGGATGTACGTTCAGAAAACTTTTATCATGTTTTGTCTTTCATTAGGGAATATGTCTTTAAACAGCACTAAGTTGTGGTCTATGAAAATAGCTCAAAGTAATGGGCACGAAAAAAACGAATGTCTCATTATTTTTTTTTACTCCTTCCAACGCGATTGATTGTACGTTCCTGCCCTTTTCTCGGCGTTATGCACTGTACAATGCTCTACAAACTTGATTGAAAATCATACGGTATTGCATTAGATGATGTAATTGACCATTTGAAAAACAATAATGTAAGAAATAATGTCAAAACTAAATGTGAAAACGATGATGAGTCGATAAACATTTTCCAGATTTGAATGGCGTCATTTTTTAATAAAACTTGTTGGAATGATGACTATCAATAACCCAAGACACTCGCTCTATGTATATGTCTGAGTCAATAACTAGAAACAACAGAATCGAACAGCGAGTAAAACAATACGAACATCAATCAGAAAATGGTCAGAGGACCCAGAGTGAATTTTCTCAATACTATCTCAAATAATTCCATAGTATTTACCGCATGATTGGCCGAGAATAGAGACGATAATCTGATAGAGAAAACATGAACATTATCTCATGAAATGAATCGAAAGAAATTGCGAAATACTGTAGTGTTAGTACCTTCTGTACTATTTGTTTCCTTCAATAGACTATATTTTAGTATTGTTTAAAGACGTGCTTCTTATTGTACGACGAAATATAATAGAATTTTCCTGAACATACATTCAGAAAAAGCTTTCGACGCAGACTTTGTACAAGTACCTTCGAATTTGTTCACATATGTTTTAGCCAATGACAAATGAATTGACATTTGACCAAGGACTTTTGCATCATCCATTACTTTACCCTCTGTGATTCTTCCTACATTGGAGGCTATTATCAATTACAAAGAAATATTCGAAATTAATAACAAATGGATAATTATAGCTATTTTAATTGTACGGATTTAATTGTGATGAAAAACTTTAAAAATGATCTAATCAAACCATGAATATCAGCAACATTTAGTTATTCTCATTTGTAAAATTTCGTATATGATATGCAATTAAAATGTAGTTCATCAACATAAAGTTACTTTTCTTTTTACGTGATCCTTATGTAAAAATTTTAAAGTAATAATTTTTATCCATTAATAGAAATAATTATAACTTATACAAATAAATAACCCGACACAATATAGGATATCATCGTTATTTATTTCAACTTACCAGAATAGACCGATATAAAACAACTAATGTGAAAAATTGATCCTAAATCGATTATTAACAGATTACAAATCGATAATAATTAAAATATAATCCAAAATATCGAAATTTCATCGATTGTTATGATTAATTTTGATTGAAATCAATTTTATAATCATAAAGAAATCGGTTATAATCAAAATAAAGCGAATAAAACTGAATAAAAGTAGTACTACTTATAATCATACTAAATTGATTAAAAATTTTTTTTTTTATTTGACTTTTATACTTTTTTCAAACGGAAGGGAAAAAAGTGTATATTTTCGTACAATGAACAACAACGTGAAAGTTTGGTGAAAAAATGAAAATGATATTATTCGTAATTTATATACCGTCCAATTTACTTTGTTCAATGGCTAAGTTTTTTGTAAACAAATTATTCTAGCAGCTTAGAGCATTAGAAAATTCTTAGACTCAACAAAATGGTGAAATTTCCGTCATGTTAGATAAAAGTATCTTTTTCCAAAAAAAGGTATAAAGATCATAAGGAATAAATCATACATATTCTTCAAATAACACATTTCTATAACAAAACTTTGTTCTAACACCTCGTCGGTTGAAATAAGTAATTATTCTTGGTCAACTAAAGATTTTCTGAGAGAAAGCGTGTTCGCTATAGTGCGTGTGCGCAATTTAGCAGAGTTGTCAACTGGACGAAATTTTCATAGAATTTTTTCTCTGTCTGACACATCTGTTAAATTAGTGGAAAGAGGGCGCAAATACAACTGAACTGATTTAGAAATTTTCCAAAAGTGCTCAGATTTTCAGATTTTTCATGATTTTCCAGCTTCCAAAACGCTTTCAAAGGAAATTGATGACCTAGGCAGAGTCAGCCATAAAAATTTGAATTTTTCGATGTAAAGTTTGTTAGGTTTTTAAGTTTAAAATATTTTGGCAACATTTAAGACCAAGAGTTCGCCTGAACGATGTTGCATTAAAAAAAATTTTCAAATTATGTCTTTTTTTTAGCTGTTTTCTCAAATCAGTAGCAACTAATAACATATTTTTAAGGAAAAATACGATTTTGACAGAAAACAAACTATGTTGAAGTGCTCCATTGAAATAGTTCACTGTGAGTCGATGAATAAAGTGACAACTGCTGTTTAGTTGCCATTGGCTTGCACCTTAGATATGAGAAAGAACATGATGATAAGACATGAACAATTTAAGATTGCTTTGTCAAATAGTACTACACGTTTAGAAAAATGAGGTTTTTGAATATTATTGAGTGATGTTACATAATTAGCAAACAAAAATCAATTATTTGGATTTTATTTTAATCATTAAGAGTGTATTTTCATTGCTAACAGATATGCTATATTCATTTCTTGTGTATAAATTAGAGAAGTGTATACCTAAACGTTATTATTTCTTATTGATCCATTCATAATTAAAAGGACTTTGTTGTACATTCATAGAATGTAGTTGATAAAAATTGAAAAACGTAACTGAATTTTGAACTGCTTAAAACTTTTTCATATATTTAGAAAACTAAAAATATAGTGAAAGATGACCTAATTGATTGAATTACCATGCCTGTGTACTGTTCATACCGTATTGTTTATTTTCTTATAATTGTCTTTCTGGTTCATGACGTGCTTGTTCCTTAATAGTGTTTTTTTAATCTCTTTTCATCATCTCATACCAGGCATGTGTCCCAGTGCAAGTAGGATAGATTTCCTAGCCTTTTATTTTTCATAACCAATAAGAACTAAGAGCAAGTGTCTCTTATAAGCGGATAAACTTCAAATACAAGAGAAGAGTTAGAACGTTTTGGATATTACGAGAAGAAATCTAAACTGGAAATATCCTTCGTAAACTGAAAAGGAGAAAAAATGGACTATATATTTCGAAAATTTGCTAACATGTCAAGGGAATTTCATATAGGAATCAGACCACTTTTCTCTTTCTTTGTTGTCGTGTAATTATTACTTACATAATACATTTAAAGCGTAAGTAAGATGTCCCAAAACACAAAACTTTGTTCTAGACTTGAGAGCAAAGATTGCAGAGAGAATAATAAGTTCATCTCGTTTTGTTCATAATTTACACTAGATATTTCAATTATCTTTCTCTTTTTTTCAATGTTATGCAATTCAATCACCAACAAAAAACAAAATATATATCTACATAGAATATTCTCTTTCAGGATGAAAACAGACATTTGACTTGATACAAAGATTTAAGTCTTCTATTAATGTAACCACCATCACCGAATGTAGCTCATTTGACATCCATCATGTCGTCGAGCAAATATTAAATAATATATAAGATTAATCAAATAAGTGATAAAACACACACACCCAGTCTTCGTTACAACCTTAAAGAAACATGAAAAGTAATTCAATGTTCATATTCAAATAAAAATCAAAGAAACTTACAACTTTCCATGATAATTTAATGTAATTTCTGATTCTGGTGGTAAATCATACAAAGCAATAACTTGCTTATGTTCATCAATCATACATGTTGCTTCAAATTTATTTACATTTCTTATAAAATGATTATCAATATGGACTGGTCCTGAAAAGCGTGCAACGATTTCTCCAGCTTGTATCCATTCTAATACGTGTAAAGATTTTCGTTTTTCATCGGTTGCTGAACGTGTAAAACATTTTGTTGAATACCATTTTGTTTTTAATTCTCTTACACGTGTTTGTAAATAAGATGACATATATAAATAAAAACGTTTCTGAAAATCTTCATCACGATATCGATCAAACATAAGTGTACCAACACATGATGGTGTATCACATTTACAAACAGTACCACGAATTAATGATGGTTCAGTTTCAAGAAAATTATAATCATATGTTAATTCTTCACCAATACTAATTGATCGAATAGCTACAATAGTATTTCCATCACCTGAATCAAAGCCACAATTTGGTTCGCAAGAATGATTAAATAAAACACATTCATCATTATTTAATTGTGTAGCAAATGTATGAGGAATTAAATACACATCATCTTCAGTCTTATGTAAATAAAAAAAAACAAAATTATTAAAGAAAGGAAACCAAAAGCAAAGAAGATGAATTACCATATATGAATACCAACAAAGAAAACTTCTTAAATGTGGTTGAATTTCAATCAAATGAAGAATATCATCTCGTGACATAATATAATCATCATTACTACAAGAACACCACCATATTTTTTCACCAGCAGCAATTGACTCAGCAGCTACAATTGTTTTTTGCCCATCGCCATATTTTTCACTCGCATCAACTATTTGAATCATTTTAAAAAACACCATGATTATTTGTCGTCAGCAAATGAGAAGAAATCGAAAGATCAAGGTTTGCTATTAATTTATCTAAAAAAGACAGCTCTTTATATATCTATCGACATGTGAATATAGAGTGGGAGCGGTGAGAACAAACGGCTGCATGAATAGATTCTTGAAAATCGTTTTTTTTTCATTCCGCTTAGTCACATGATAGTAAATCGATTAAAACCCCTATCACATGTTTGTTCGCAGTACCGCCGGTATACGGCGGTACGTCTAAGATTAAGCGACGCGATATACTAACGATTTACTGGCGATGGTGCTTACAACTTTCGATTCCAGCTATAAACGATTGCAGAGTATTTTCTACCCAAAGTTGAATTCTTTATTAGAAAGAATTCAAATTAACCCTAGAAGAAAACGGTTTCAGAATATACTTCATTAATAAAAATTTTCGCAGTGTCATCTATAATTAAAGTCTATCCTGTAGTCGGGGGCCAATTTGAGCTGTGTGGCTGGTACATGCAGTTCATATATGTCAACATTTTCAGAGTTCTTCGAAATCGATTCAAGTCTGTCAATTTTAATAAAATTCGAAAATATTCACTCGTTTTGATACAATAATTTAAAAAAGAAACTGACGGTATTAATCCAGTTCGAATTACATGGAAAGAGTTTGTCCTCAAGAAATAATCATTATTTCAACGATATAAACCGTCGCTTTTAAATTACACTTTTATTAAAATATCAACGGCAAAATACTGGTGAGTCGTAGTTTCGATGGATACTTCCATGGATGACTAACCACAAAAAATGCCTAGTTCTCCGAAGATTTTTTTTTCGCCTTCAGAACTCAGTAGAATGTGTTGCACAGATCATATTTGTAAAAAAAATATCCAAATTTACTCAATAAATCATGCTACTAAGACCGAAATACTCGAAAATGCCAACTATCGCTCAGCAGCAGTCAGGAATAGCCGAAGCTGTTGAGTAGTTTGGTCCTAACACCATGATCTATTGAGTGAGTTTAAAATTTTGTTTCGTACCAAAATGATCAACGCACCTAACTGGACAAAATTTTACAGGACAAAAAAAGTCGTTTGAGAATCTTCTATTTTTTTTACGGCTGACTATCCATGAGAGTGGTCATCGAAAATAGGACTCGCAAATTTTGGCGTTCGTATAAAACTAGTGTCAAATGTTTTTTTAAAAACTGGAATTTCATTAACTCAAAAGAAAACTTTTGAAATGATATTTTCTCATTCAGTATAATCAAAAAAGATCGCAAACCGTTCTTATTGTCGAGTTTTAAAGTTTCAACATAATTAAACGTTAAGACAGCCGTTTTTTAAATTAATAATTTCTGTCTGAAGACACTAAATTTTATCAGAAAAACAAGTATTCGTTACAATGTTAATGCTTTTTAAGATTTCAATATTCGAATAAGAAATGTGAGAATTTAGCTAAACACTAAGATGCTTTTCAGGCAATCGTGAAGTTTCTTTACTCATATAATTTTAA